GGTCCTCATACACTCTGGTCAAGTGCTCTACCACTGAACTCTGTCCCCAGCCCACTATCTAGCCTTTTAGTCCTRTTGTGCATACATGAGTATGTGTAAAATATATCACTCACAGTCCTATGCTGTTTCTTGGGGGGGACAAAACACTCCAGTGTTCACCTGTACCTAACAACCTTTTTTTTTTTTTTTTTGCCTTAGAAGATAATTGAGCAGTCTGCTGGGGTGACTAGACTGATCCTAAGCCTGTGTGATCAATACAGTCCCCTGCAGCCTGTCCCATGCCCTAGCCCCTCCACAGCAGCCTTCCTGAGAGAGGAAGCTACACTGATGTCCCCAAGTCCTTCCACACTACAAACCATGAGTGACAGCTCCTGGGCCTTTGGCCCAGGGCTGTGCCCATTACGAGGCATTTGGGGAGTCTCCAAATGAAGCATTATTTTGGAAGATGACATAAGGCTGCCTGCACGYAACTTAATCTCCCTCAAATAAAACCCTTCGAAGATTCACACTTTGCTCTTGCACAACTTGCCTGGGAGGGGTGTATTCAGTGAGTGAATCTGAAACTGAAAACTCAATCTGCTCCTCTTGTCTCATTGCTCCCTGTATTTGGTGTTAGTAAAAGCAGGAAAATTATGCTTTGCAAGTCCAGGAAAGGCCGGGCAGAGAACACCACTGGATCTGGCTCTCTGAAGGGCCCTGGCTTCCCCAGGGATCCCAGGAACTCGGTGCCTGTCTCAGAGATCCGCACTTGCTATTGCCACATGCTGTCAACACAGAGGCCACAGAGTTAGGGTTCAGTCTACAGCGTGGCTGTAGATCCAGTTACATCACCTGTGAACTGTGACCTTGGACRTGCTGCTTAACCACTCAGCAGCTCCATCTTCATCTGCCCAAGGCCGATGGTCACAGGGCATTGCCCACAGTGTTGGGAGGAAAACTCAGTGCCTGGGGGACTCTTAGCATGGTGCCGACCTTCCTAACAATTACTTCATAATTATTCACAAAGGAACTTCAGGAGGGGGGGAAGTGCAGTTAGGATGATTTTATGTGAGAGATGAGGGATGAATGTAACATTTGGGGTAGATGACTGTTCTCAAACCAAGAGCATTCATGTGACTGAGCTTTGCACTCCAACCTATGACCCCAAGAAAACTGCTAATCCTGGTTCTTTTTTATACCAATCTCCCCACCAACCTCGTTGCCAGGTGCTATGTACCAGAGGTGGATAGATTAGCCCAAGAGTATGCAGGGCTTTCCTAGGAGCCACCTGCAGGATAGAGTGGCTCTYGAAACATGTCCCATGAGTGACTTAAGTACCCCGTCTCCTGCCACCATGAGCGTCCATGCTTTCTTACCTCTCTGCTTTCATTCCGTTGCCTTTCTCACCTTCCTTCCCACSGCTGTGCCCAAACTGTCCTCGTGAGCACCACTCCAGCCCCTACCCGCTCCGTGGAGGCTTCCTGCAATAGCACAGCCTTCCAGCCCCACTGTGCTGAGCCTCAAGACGTGCCAAGGCCCCAAGTAGACGTAGCCCTGAGTCCCATCCACAGCCTCTGTCTCTGTGCTAAAAGGAGGCCTCTGAATTCAGAGATTAGACTATCTTATGCTGTACCCTGTCCCTCCCGTCTCACAGCCTGAGGGACCACCCTYCCATGACGGGCCAGATGCTGGGACTGGGTGAGATGTGAGGCTCTGCCGAGTCCACCCCAAATCTAAGGCATCGCACAGAACAACGGCTCCACTCCTCCTGAGCTTCTGCTGTCAGAGAGCAGATGGTGTAAAGAAACCCAAGGATTTCTGGTGTCCCCCGTCCTCAGAAATCACCAAGAAAGAGAAAAATGGGCAGGCTCCCACGCTCCTCCTGCCAGCTCGTCTGAGTTATTTTGGGGCGGCTGAAGCAGTGTGGTGTTTGCTGGATGTGAGCGCTCTGTAATTTGAGAGACAAAAACAGACAGACAAGAAGGCCCACGTGTAGGCTGTGGAATGTCCTCCTAAAAAAAAGAAAGAAAGAAAGAAAAAAAAAAGGCTGAGATGGTTTAAGGTTCTCTTTTCATTGCGAGGGCTTCTGTTTTCCTCCCTTTGCCCCTTCGTCTTCTCTACCTCTCCACTTTTTGTTCTCCACACAGGACCAAACAGCCCTCCAGCCCTGCTCCCTGCCCCAGGAAAGGAGGCCACCCATCCTGATCTCGGCAGGACCTCCCCGGAGGCCTGGCAAGTCAGCAGGCCTGAGAAGGCTGGCCAGCCTGTGCTGCCCGGGGTCGTGGAGCCTGAGGCCCAGGGCAGATCTGCTGTGACGGTCCCCCACGAGGGCAGCACACCCCCAGGGGAGAAGGCAGTGACCCCTCCTGGCTTCAGCAAGACTCTGGCCAGCTGCCATGGCACCACCAGAAAGGCAGCTGCCCCCAGAGTTGTGGGACCTGGGGCCGAGGAGGCAACTCCYTCCAGTGCCCTCCTGCCACCAGACCTCATACCCCAGGAGCAGAGTCGAGGAGCTCCAGCCACCCACTGCAAGGGCTCCAAATCCACGGAAGACCAAGCCCCCGAGACCCCCCAGGAGGCCACTCTGCTTGAGGTCACAGATGCTGTGTCTGCAAGGGCGTCACGGTCCAGCCCCTCCCTGCCAGTGCCCACTGACAAGACCAGCGACACGTGTGATGGTGTCTCGGGGCACTGCTGCCCACTGGGGAGCAGAGAGAGCCTGGTGACAGACATTGACAGATCCATCCAGGGGTCAGAGGCTTCTGAAGTGAGGCCTCAGTCTTCTCAGAAAGGGGGAGGCAGGGGTCACCAGGGCAGTTCTCAGGTTGTGCTGCAGGCAGGAGCTGGAGGTGGCAGTTCCCAGCATGCCCTTCCAGCCACAGGTGACCAGACCTCCTCCCCCAGGAAGGCCTTGGCCACTGCTTCCCCAACAGCCCCACTGTGGGCCTCCCAGCCTTCAGTCTTAGATTCCATTAATCCCCATAAACATTTTACTGTGAACAAAAACTTTCTGAGCAACTACTCTAGAAACTTTAGCAGCTTTCATGAAGATGGTCACTCCCCGTCGGGCCTGGGCGACAGCACAGAGCCGTCTCTCTCCTCCATGTATGGAGATGCCGAGGACTCCTCTTCCGACTCCGAGTCACTCACTGAAGCCCTGCCAGCTTCCACCAGGGACAGCGGGTCACAGCCTCGTTCTCATGGGCCTTCTCCCAAGGAAGATCCTACAGAGTCTGAGGAGGAACACGTTGAAATTTGTTCCACGAATGGTCACCCCAGTCCACCCTCGACGACTCCCGCTCAGGCTGCGCCCTGCCCGGCTTTAGCCAAAGTCCTGCCGTTGAAGCACAGTGCGCTGAGCGAGTCCCCGGGAGACCCCTGCGAGACCGCGTCCTTCTTGCCAGGAGCCTCCTGCACCTCCAGCCCCAACTCTCCCCAGCTGTTTTCACTCCTGGATCTGAGCGCTCAGGAGCAGGAAACTCCTGCGGAGGTGAGCATTTCACAGGGTCACCGGCCTTTGTGTGCAGAAGAAACTATGGAAGTGAACGGCCCACCTTCTAAAGTTGTCAGGCACAGCCCACCAGTCCCGCTCGGCTCCCCTCACGTGGTGAATGGTTTGGGACATGACCGGCTGCATGACAAAAACCCAGACAGACAAGAAACCAAGGCAGACACCACTGAAAACGCGTACCCCCCCTTCAGTGTGGACATCCCAAAGAACGGAGAGTCTGTTCTGGCAGACCTCCACATCTCGGAGAGTCAAGACCTGGATGACTTGCTGCAGAAACGAAAAATGATCTCCAGGAGGCCCATCATGGCCTGGTTTAAAGAAATCAATAAAAATAGCCAAGGTTCCCACGGACAGAGCAAACCAGAGAAGGACTACCCCACCGTGCCAGCCAGAAGTCCCGACTCCAAAATTCAGATGTTGAGCTCAAACCACAAAAAGGGGGTTGCCATACCTAATAGCCCTCCTCCGCTGAAAATCAATCTTGACAATAAAGATTCAACTAAAAAGGGTTCGGTGGAMACACTTTTAAGTAACTGTCAGAAACCCAAGTGCGGCCCGAAGCTGAGGAGACTCAGCATCAAAAGCAAAAGCAAAGTCGGCTCTGAGGCCCCTGCTGCTAATCCTGCTAAGGCTGGTGGGGCAGACCACAGGAAATCCTTAATTTCACCCCAGACCTCCCACAGAACGCTTTCCAAGGGAGCGTCACACCGGTTTCACACAGCTGACCAAGAAGAACAWGACAAAAACACCACAGACACCCCCCAGGCTCCCCAGTGTGTGCTGGAGAGCAGGCCACCCCCGGCTGCCTCTGGGTCACTGAAGGCCTCCGCATCAGACACGAGCATCAGCACATTCATTTCCCCCCTGACCTCCCCAAAGACGCTTCCTGAACAAGGCGCATATAACCGGTTCCACGCGGCTGTCCACTCAGAATCCAACAGAAGTTGCCCAGCGACCCCCAGATCTCCCAGGTGTGGACCCGAGGGCAAGGCACCCTGTGCTGTCTCTGGGCTGGTGAGTCCCGCAGCGTCCAGGAGCAGTGTGTCCCTGGCAGGGGTCAGACAGAGTGAGCCACGCACATCCAGTCAGATGGTCTCAGTGTCAGATGCAGCCCCACCCAGGGGGACCAGCGAAAAAGGAAGCAAGAGAATCGCTAGTGATCCCCTGGAAAGAACAAACCAGCTGAAAATAGTTGAGATTTCTTCTGAAAGAATGCCAAAGAATGCATGTGGTGACAAGCCAGCTGAAAGTGACAGACAGGGAGGGTTCTTGGCCCAGGGCAACTGTCAGGAGAAGAGTAAAATCAGATTCCACCAGTCAGTGGAATCATCCCCAAATCATCCATCCTCACTCGTGCCTCCTGCCCCCCAGGTGGAGCAGGAAATGCAACGATCCTTCAGTGTGGCCAAACTGGCTTCCTCCTCCTCCCCTCAACTGCCTGCTAAAAAGGCAGATCCCTCCCAGGGAAGATCGAGCCTGATGTCAGACTCCCTCGGGGTGCCCAAGAATGACATACCAATGGCCCCTGCTGGGGAGGACCATCCCTACTTCACCCCAAGGCCAGCCACCAGGACCTACTCCATGCCAGCCCAGTTCTCAAGCCATTTCGGACGGGAGAGTCATTCCCCRCACAGCCCTGGTCGCTCCCCTAGGAATGGCCAGGTCCCTGTAACTAGCACGGGTCTCCCTGAGGCAAAGGCATCCAAAGGCAGTATTCTCAGCCTGGCCAATGGACAGGCTGTATATAGTGTCAAGCCTCTGCAGGAAACGTCAAAGAACGTCCCAACCATCGAGGAAGGCGACATCACCGCCGTCCAGGAGACAAGCTGCCTTGTCACAGACAAAATCAAAGTCACCAGGAGGCATTACTACTATGAGCAGAACTGGCCCCATGAATCTACCTCATTTTTCTCTGTGAAACAGAGGATCAAGTCTTTTGAGAACCTGGCCAATTCTGACCGGCCCACCACCAAGTCCGGGGCATCCCCATTTTTGTCTGTAAGCTCCAAGCCTCCCATTGGCAGGCGGTCATCTGGCAGCATCCCTTCAGGGAGCCTTGGCCACCCAAGTGACGCAGCAGCGAGGTCACTGAGACGCAGCTTGAGTTCCTGCAGCGAAAGCCAAAGTGAATCCGGCGCTCTTCTCCCACAGATGACCAAGTCCCCGTCTAGCATGACTTTGATTGTCTCCCGGCAGAATCCACCAGAGACCAGGAGCAAGGTTCCAGATTCAGACCAAAAGAAATCGCTTGTTCCTCTGGGAATCCCCACCCCGACCGTGACTCCAGCCTCTCCCATCAAGAAGAACAAGTCCTCGGTGCGCCACGCCCAGCCCTCCCCTGTGTCCCGCTCTAAGCTGCAGGAACTGAGAGCCTTGAGCATGCCCGACCTTGACAAGCTCTGCAGCGGCGAGGACTACCCCACAGGGCCCTCCGCCATGCTCTTCAAAACCCAGCTAGAGATCATCCCCAGGAGGTCGCTGGGCTCCCCCAGTGGCTCCCCAACTGCAGGCCTTCCTGGCCTTGATGGACCGGCCACCCTTTCATGTCCGGGGAAGGGTGGAAACAGGGCCTGTCCAGGAAGAAGCAGCCCTACAGCCAGTGAGCCTGCAGCACCCAGTTCAGCCAACGAAGTGGGTAAAACCACCCAGGACCTGCCTTCGGGAAAAAGCTGGTCAGTTAAGTAAGTATCTACCCTCCCTTTGTTTAAATAAACTTACATTATTTTGGAATAGTTTTTAAGTTCATATGAAAGTTGCCAAGGTAGTACAGGAAGCTCCCATGTACCTCTCACCCAGCTCTAACTGTTGTTAACGGTCCATTTGTCGAAAGTAAGAAATTAACATTGAGCAATCCTATTAACCAAACTACAAAGTCTATTCAGATTCCGCTAAATAAATTCCACTAATGTCCCTTTTCTATTCCAGGATCCAATCCAGAGTACCACAWTGCATTTAGCCTCCTCTGTTTTCAATATAGTTATGGGAAACAAGTACCTGCAGGGAAGAGTTTGTCAAAATGCTGCCCCAAGTAGCACATTCCCCAGGCATGGCACTTACTAAGCAAAAGCAACCTGCAAGGGAGATGGGAAGGAAGAGAAGGCAGCACCTGAACGGGGAACCTGGGCCATGGAAAGTGACTGCAGTCCAATGGGAATTTCCAGCATATTTTAAATGTTTCACCTGAGCCTACATATTAAATATTTTACATGTCAGAGTGTCCTATTAAACCCCTGTATCCATCCCCTAACATCTTGGAGGAATCCCTGAACCCAGAGCACTCCTATTGCTATTGTCAAAAATTGTCCCAATAATTGTCAATGTGAAGGACATTCCTGCTCAGCATTCAGGGCCCTTGGTTTGGAGTGGGAGTTACAACTAGAAGAAAACATAAGCAGCAGCACCTCAGGAAATAACTGCCATATATTTGAGTAGCATTCATTTCAAATGTGTCCTTAGAAAATGGAAAAATTGCTTCCTTCTTTAATGTTTTCCAAATATATTTGTTATTTAGTTTGGATCAACTTGAAGTCTCAGTGGGGGACCAGCAGAGATTACAGGCTGTTTTGTCATCGGTGGGATCAAAATCTTCCACCCTCACTCTCATTCAGGAAGCGAAAGCACAATCAGAGGTGAGTGAAATGCAGAGGGTGCACAAAAATGACAGCAGCATTAGTGGCCAGGTGCCCGTCGCCCGCTTTGACAGCCAAGGAGGGCGCGCCTGGTCCTGGAAGGCCTGGCTGGGCTGGGAATTCTACAGCTCAGTCGGACTCTTGCCTCGTTTGCTGCCAGCTGGCTTCAGAAGCTAGACCTTCATGGAAAGTTCACATGCCATATTGGTGTCACTGCTATTTTAATTCCCTGGTAGCAAGTTACCACCTTTCCCACCCCCAGCTTTGGAGTTTGTCTGCAGAGGGTCTTCTAAGCAGGACTATGAAATGCTTCCAATGACCAAAAGTCCCTCCAGCCACTTCACTGTGCACATAAACTAGTGAAGGGCGCCACCTGCAGGTAAAAGAAACAGTTGCACCAACACAGCCCTCCTTGTATCCTGAGGCCTAGGAGTTTGGGGAACCCCTGTAAAAGACAAAGGAGCTAATTACAAATAAAGTCTTTAAATGAATCGGATGTAACAATAACAAAAGAGAAGATGGCTTCACATATAGAATACTACTCTGAAGAATAAAAGCTTCTCAGGACTGTTCATAGAAATTTGAAACCTAAGAGTTGAATATTAGGAAAATGCAAAAATTTTTCTTTCCTGGTAATGTATTTGGCTTACTAACTTCATCCACAAACACTGTTCTAGAAATTAAAATATTACTCAAAGGATGCTATTTGAGGTTTATTATCTAAGTAACAGTCTTGCCTTTTTTTTTTTTTACCACTGTGCCACACCCCAGCCCTTTTTAGTTTTTGAGAGTGTCTCGGTAAGTTACCCAGGCTGGCCTTGAACTAGCAATCCTCCTGCCTCAGCTTCCTAAGTGGCTAGGGTTCCAGGCATATGCCACCCCACCTAGCCAGCTCTGGCAGCTAATAAGCTGGCAGGGGGAAGAGGGGAGATGATACCCTTTTAGTTTCACCTCCCTCCAGAGTCTCAGCCCACTGGTTTGGGTGTGTGCGGTTAGGAAACACCTGGGCACCAAGCAGTTTTCACTTTCAGTGAAAGGAAGTAGTCCAACTCTCGCTGCCTTCTGGGACTTGTCACTACCGTAAGCAAGCATCTCACGCAGGAACAGTCTCAGATCTCTATCAAGGTGGGAAGGGTGGGGTCACACTCAGCCAGGACCCTCTGCTCCGAACATTTTATTTACAGTGTTAGATAATGTGGAGAAAGAGAAAAACAGTCTCAGCCAGCCTCATACACCAGGTGCCCATTTCAGGAACAGAAATACARTGGGGACTTTTTCTGTGGACAGGATGCCCAGTGCTGCCCTTGCAGCCATCGTCTGAGGCCTCCTTCCCTCTGGTTTGATATACATCCCCAGTGTGGCTTGGTGTTGAAGATCAAGCCTACTTTCATCAGAATACAGCTCTCTCGCGCGTTCTCTCTCACTCTCCCCCCCTCCTTCCCCCTTGTTTTCTTATTGTGTTCCCAAGCTGATTTCAGAGAGGAGGGGTGAGCAGAGACCGCCTCATTCTGCCATCTTCACACGAGCAGTTTTCTGCCTTGCTTTTTTTCCAGTGAGTATGGTTTGCAGGTGCTTAAAATGGAACTGTACAAAACTACTTCACAGCCTTTGGTGGTGCTGTGATGACAGAAGTCATCTCACAACCATCCCTGGTCTTCTGACTTCAGCACACCCAAGCCTTGAAGAGCACTTCATGGTTCATCTAGCTTCCGGGGTGCTGTGCTGAGCTTCTCAAGCAAAATTTGGCCAGTTAGCCAGCTTCTAGCATACTGGTATCCTCACACACCCTGGAAAAAAACAATTTGAATGAATTAAAATATTGGTGACAACAAGTACTGCATTATAGGAGCTCTATCTTCAAATGTTCTGTCGCTTTGTGGTTAAATACCTGGGAAATATTCATATTCCGTATTCATATTTCTTTACCTTCCAGAAGCTACACAAAAATCATTTACTGCCCACATGTTTCCATTTTTGTTGAGAAGCCCAGTAGACATCCTTCTGTCTACTGATGTGTGCTTGGGCACAGGTATGGCTGAAGGACATTCTGGTATCAGCACATGTGCCTTGGTCCAAATCCGCTTCTTAGGAGAGAGATAAAATGCTTGGAAATTAGCCCTTGAGACTTCCTAACAGGACCACTTTCTCCTACCAGGTTCTCTCCCTTGCTGTTATAGAGTTGGTCTTCTGTCTCAGCTGTTTTATTTCATCAAATCCATCTTTAAGGGTTATTTTTAGACTCTTGTTCTAGTGCTATATTTGAGAACACCTTGAAGTGTGGATTATCAATCACTTCATCAGAAAAAAGAACAATGCAGAGCTTTAAAATGTTGCTGAATCACATGTCACATGTGGGTGAAGGAAATAAGTTCAGAATAATTAGCCCAGCCAGTTTATTTATTTTAAAATCTTTTATTCCAAAAATATCTTTGGATGCGCAAGACTGGAACAGTCTTCTGGTACTTAGTCCTACGACACTACTAAGAATGCTTTAGTCTCAATATCAGTTGAGTATTAGTTTTAACATAGTTTTTAGGTATTTTCTTCTTTCCTTCCCAGGGATTGAACCCAGAGGTGCTCTACCACTGAACTACAGGGTTTGTTTTGAGACAAGGTCTGACTGAGTTGCAGTGGCCAGAAATTAGGGACCTTTCTGCCTCAGCCTTCCAAGTCACTGTGATTATAGGTGTCCACCACCACCCCCAGAAACATACTTTATTTTTTATATTCTGAGTATTTTTGGACTGCTAGTTAATTTGCACCTGAAATCCAGTAACTGAACGTGCCAGAAGTGAGCATATAAAACACAAGGCCTCTGTCACTTAATCTTTTTTGCGGCTGTTGAAATTGGCTTTGCTAAATGTAGATGTGAAGAGTTCCAGAATAAGGAATTCCCTTCAAGGTGAAAGTCTGTGCTATCGTCAGATTTAGGAAGATACAATCTGGTGCCTCAAATGGCTTGAAAACGTGGCAATGCTTAACCGCCCCTGCCCACATCCTCGTTCATGCTCACCTTCCCAGGGGTTCCACAGCTACAGCATAGACCCTCAGAACTTTCCACTTAAGCACTACCTAGAGGGGTGCCGGTTGAGCTGGGGACTGCTCGGACTTGTCTGTGTGAGCTGGGGAATCACTGAGGCCTGGGATGGGCACCTACAGGAGGATTTAAGTTGGAGCTTCTCATTCTTGGCACTGGGAATATACAGTAAATTGTTTTCCTGTTTCTCTTAACTAGAATAAAGAAGATATTTGCTTCATAGTCTTGAATAAAAAAGAAGGCTCAGGTTTGGGATTCAGTGTGGCAGGAGGGACAGATGTGGAGCCAAAACCAATCATGGTAAGTGACAGTGCCATTAGGACACAGATTGAACAGGATACAGATTCTAACATTCAAAGGCTACCGAGTTGTGTTAGCTACTACTTACACAGAMATGGAAACATGGAGGAAGTAGTTCACAGTATTTTCATTGACAAAGAAGACTGACATATGACTGACATGTAGAGACCACATGTCAATACATATAAGCACAATTATCTATATCCTTAAAACTTGCCTAAATATCTTATTTAAGCACTAGAAAAACTTGAGGATCAACTGACCTAACTTAAATTCACTTATAAAATTACTTCTTTCCAAAGAATAATAATGTAAGACATTGTCACTCAGAGGCCTCGAGATCATGAAGGCCACTTTCATTGGTCTCATTTGTCCTTGTATTTCTGTTACCTCATGGATGCCACACACATGAGACACTAACAAGAAGTTGAGTAAAAAATATGTGCTGGTATTGACATTTGTAATTCCACGTCCCGCACTGAATGATTTTGATCAACTTAAATATTTGTCATGAATAAGAAAACTTGTCATGAGGAACTTGTCTTCACTACAGAGTAGCAGTTGCTGTCTTGCCATCCCTGGAGGTATAAATGGATTCTAGCTTTTGTTCCCCTTTCCTTTCTCCTTTCCAGGTCCACAGGGTGTTTTCTCAGGGGGCGGCTTCTCAGGAAGGGACTGTGAACCGAGGGGATTTCCTTCTCTCCATCAATGGCACCTCGTTGGCTGGCTTAGCCCACGGAGACGTCTTGAAGGTTCTGCATCAGGCACAGCTGCACAGACATGTCCTCATGGTCATCAAGAAAGGGAATGAACAGCCCAGATCCTCCTCCAGGCAGGAGCCTCCCATGGCCAATGGAAAGGGTTCGCTTTCCAGAAAGACCATGTCTCTGGAGCCTGGAACTGGTAAGATATCAGTTCAATGACCAGCATTCTGGTGAGACATTAAAAAAATAATGGCCAGTTCCTGAATCAGAAAAAGTGAATGTAGTGAAATATAGTGTTTGGGGATGCTTCCTGCAAAAGAAGTATTACAAACAATTTTGTTTAAAACTCAGTAGTGAAAGCCACACTGCTGAAAATTACTTGGCAGCTTCTCTCAACATCCTAAGGAGACACCATCATATTTACATCTCTTTGTTAGAACTTAAGTGGCTGGTAAGTAAAATCAAGGAATTTTTGTGACAGGGAAAATCCGTATTGAAGGAGAAATTCAAGAATGAGATTTGTCCCTGGGAAACATCAAGGTTGAGATTTTTTTCCTGTTTTGTAAGAACATAAGGAAATGAAAGAGCAAACATGTTTTTGTTTGAAAACAGACTGCAGCCTTCATCTGCTGAGAAGAGTTTGCTACAAGGGGTTCTCTGTGCCCCTCTGCGAGGTACTGCCTCAACACCAAGTACATTTGTTTCTGACCACAGGCTGATTTCAGCCTCCAGAGAAGCACTGCACCCAGTGTCCTCCGCCTCTGCATTTGGGAATGACCTCTCTCTAGTCCAGAAGGCAGACAAGATCTGCTGGAGTTCAGTTAGGCCACTGCCTTCTGGGAGGGGCCTTTTGCTTTCTTTTCAGCATCTCCCCCTGATGATCAAGGGCAGCTGAATGTCTCTGCTGAACTTGGCTTCACTGTGGACTGAGCAATCTGTAAAGATTTTGCTGAAAATGGATTAGATTCCATTGAACAAATGAGAAACTCTACCTGTCGAGATTCCGACACAGTGGCTCCCGTGTCCCCGGCTCTTCTGCTTTCCACTCCTAGAGAGCTGACACCTTTCCCAACACACGGAAACACCTTCCTCATCAACTGATGCTCACCTTTGCCCCAGCACTCTCCAGTGGTTCGAGTATTTTCAGTGGGCTCCTGGGGATTCAACCTATCAAAGGAAACATTTGGCACTTAATCGTAAGAGCTTCCAGAGTTTTTGAGATTTACAACTCAAGAGAAGACCATCTTATTATCACTTATAATCCTGAAGTATTTCTGTAGCACCTCCAGACCACTGAACTTGAACCAGACCCAGAAGCATGATCCAGCTGTCAGCACCTTGAGGGCTGAAGCTCATTGCTATTCTTTGGGGTTTCCCTGCCCTGGGGCTCCCTGGTCCTATGCAGTTATTTTTTGGCAAACACTGACAACATCTGATTTAGGCCTGATATGATAAGTTGCACATTGGAGATACCTGGAAAGCTTTGTCCAGAAAATTCCTCAATGAAATCAGAATGCTAAGGAGCGGGGACCTGGCATCAGCACCTCTTTAATGTTCCAAGTGATTCTGGGAGGCAGAGCGCCCCTGGATGGGTTTTTTGTTTTTCTGTTTACACCCATTGAAAAATTGTGCCACTCCTCCTATTAGTAAATGTCCTTCAGACCATGTGCTTTGGCTTTAAGCCGCAATAATGGTTTATGTTCAAAGGTGATGATGCTAGCTAGCTCCGCCTCCGCCTTAACAAATGTGTTTAAGTGGGCCCTTTAATTCCTTTGTGGTCCTTCCCCTGCCTCCCGAGCAACTAAGTGCACCTTTCCACTCAACTCTAATATCCTTGGCGGGAACAGCACAGAAGAATCATTAAAAGGCGAGTTTACAATTCCTACTCAGACCTCAGCCTGGCCTCTCCAAACTGGCACAGAGTGGGCGCCAGTTCCTCGCAATGGAGGAGGTGTAACCATGGAAACGCTTCTCTCCACAGTGGAGCCAGATGCCAGTGAAGGCAGCCGTGCCTGGAGGCAGGATTTCCCCTCATAGGAGCATGATGCAAGGAAGGAAGCCCTGCTCAGTCCCAGGGAGCTTCTGAGTCAATTATGACAGCCCTCATGTGAGGCCAGGCACTTTGGTGCTGCTGCTGTTAGTACCAGATGGTGACACTCTGCGGCACAGAATTCAGGGTTAGCAGGAAATCCAATTTGATTCCCTAAGTGTTATTTCCATCCTCACTAAGATGCGTACCATCAAGCCCTGGGCTTGGCAAGAGCAGTATTTTCTGGGGATTTCTGCTTGGGTGTAAAAGCATTCTCCACACTTGCGGAAAATACACAGGAGAGCAGAATACGCAAGCACAGCAGGAACGTAGCCAGGCAGGCAGCCACATGCTGGAGACCAGCCTGAATGCTGGAGCCCAAAGGTTTTGCTGAAAGTTACAGGACTTGAGGGTGGCAGGAGACTACAGTGGGAGTAATGCATTTGGGGATGGGTCATTGGGCATGTGGCACAATGAGCAACCCTGTCATTTTTATCCTGATAAATATCATTGCTGCAGGGAGAAGCGGAGCTGCTCCTGGTGCTCTGTGTGTTGAAGTGCTAAAAACCTCAGCTGGGCTGGGACTGAGTCTGGATGGAGGAAAATCATCCATGTCTGGAGATGGGCCCCTGGTAATTAAAAGGGTGTACAAAGGTAATGTCCGGGGAAGCTCAGCCAGCCTCCTCCTACCATTTCCACATGTCTCCATGAAAAATCAGTGCCTTCCAMTGGAAATCAAACTTGATTTGATTTTGTTATTTTTATTTTATTTTATTTTAGTATTGGGGATGGAACCCAAAGAGACTTTACCACTGAGCTGTATCCCCAGCCCTTTTTATTTTTCACTTTAAGACAGGGTCTCACTAAGTTGCTGAGGCTGGCCTCGAACTTCAGATCCTCTTGCCGCAGCCTCCTAAGTCAGGCATGCACCACTGTGTCTGGCTTCACACTCGTTTTTAAAATTCTAAAATGTTTTTAATGCTTTTGACATGTAGGGATCATTCTGGGTCAGCCATGTAGTTTTTTACATATATTAAAACTCATGCTTTATCCTTGTAACAGCCTGTCAGGTGACTAACAAGCTAAGTAACGCCATCAGACTCACCAGTCAGGAGTACTTAACACCAGCCAAGATCTCTCTAACTGAAAATACTAGACTGCAAGATGGGGACTGGGGTTGTGGCTCAGTGGTAGAACGTTTGCCTAGCATGTTTGAGGGTTAGGGTTCAGTCCTCAGCACCACATACAAATATATAAAAATGAATGTTCATTGACAAGATTTATATATATATATATGAAAATAGGAGGTAGAACTTATTGAAATGATCAGTAAAGATGAGGTTTCTTTGTGAACTTGGATAATTCATTTTATGATCTTGAGCAGCTTTCAAAAATCTCTTCAGATTCCTAAACTGAATAACTATATTAATGATATAATTGTAATATAATTATGTATTGACATTGTTGGTACAGAGTAGAAACCCATTAATGTGGACTGGGGTTATGGCTCAGAGTGCTTGCCTAGAATGTGTGAGGCACTGGGTTCGATTCTCAGCACCACATATAAGTAAATGAATAAAATAAAGGTTCATCAACATCTAAAAAATATTTTAAAAAATTAAAGTTAAGAGAATGTTAACAAAATAAGTAAGTCAATAAATAGTAACATCAGTTCTTAGCTAAGGATTTTTTTTTTATTATTTTAATGACCACTAGTCACTAGTTACTGACCTTTGGTGTATTTCTATAATTATATAGTAATTTTGAAGCCTTTCTCCACTCCTGACACACAGTACTAATAGTAAAAAAAAAAAAAAAAAAAAAAAAATTCTTCAATATAAAGCTGTGCTTTAAAAAAACAATCTCCAGCGCTCTCAGCCTTACCCCATCTTCTAGGAAACCTTGAGAGCCACATGGAGGAAGAAGCAAATGCACAGGGTGAAGTGCTTGTGAACTGCTGACCTGGTTAAACCAGAGGCCACAAGAACCAAAATAAGGGCCTCTGGGGGCCAGGGAGGCTGGCCCAAGTCGTTGACGGCATGCTGCTGTCTAGAAGTTCTTTGAGTGGATCTAGACCTTCACTGCCATCGAGTTGCCAAGCCTACCTCTGAGAGCGCCTGTGCACACAATAACCTTCTCTGTTGGTCATTTGCCCTGACCTTATGACATTCTGAACTAGTTCTGTTCTCCATTGTGGCCAAGAGTAACACATGGACACTAAATTATCTCTTCTGCTAACTTAGCTGAAGGATGGGGGGGGAGAACCTCTATGGTTCAAAAGTTGAAGTGAAATCCATAATGACAGGTAAGTAGGGCTGACACCCTGTGGCCCAGAGGAAGCAGGAGATGGGAAACAGGCAGTGGAAGCTGGGGCTCCAGTGTCCACCCAGGAGTGGGGGCTGAGCACCTCCTGAATTTGTGGACAACTGGAACCAGGCATCTTGTGAAGGGAAGGGCTGATCTGTTCTCCACCAGTCAGCTGGGGGTGACAACAGCTCAGCTCTGTAGCTCTGGGTGGTGGCCAACACAGGCTGTCTGCCCTTGGCCCTACCAGCAGGCAGAAGACAGGCACGTATCAGGAGTCGGGCCTCTGCTACGTGGTGTCTGAACTTAACAGTACCAAGGTAGAGAAACCGCATTCGTTACTCATCTAGTTGACAGAACAGTAGACAGAGAGCTGAGCTAAGGCAAGCATGAAGCAACTTAACTATAACAGCATTGGCAAGGGACAGCTCTCGGAGCACACAGGACGTGGAGATCCATTGCCGGGAGTCCCATGAGTAGGAAAGCCCATTAAAAAATAAAGGCAGGAAAAATAAAATAAAATAAAAAATAAAAGCAAGAATAATATCCAAGCATCAAGAGCGTATTCAAAAGGAGCAGAGATGTTAAACAAAACAAAATGCCCACACACACCTTTAATGGAAATAAAGTCAAATGTATTTTTAATTAATAAAAAAAATAGACTGAATTCATATAAGGACAGAATTTGTAAGAATAGTGATAGAAGAAACAATTTAAACTACAAAAGGGTAAAAGGGGTAAGGTGTTTCCGAAGGAAAAGACAGATGAGAGGAAATAAGAGGAGAAACTGTAACTAAGACTTTTCCAAAACTAAAAACAGGAGTCCTCAAACTGGGGTGGGGGGGTGGGGTGGGGGGAGATACATCATCAAGGGCAAAACAGGCTGCATATATAAAAACCCAAATCATGTAAAGAATAATGTGGAAATCTAAACAGCCAACAGATCAGTTCCCCAGCATGAATGCCAAAAGTTAACAGAGTAACACCTACAGAAGATGGAGGACAACTGCTGTCCATCTACCCACTAAGCCATCACTCCAGAGGAACAGCTGAATGGAACTCATGAAAGGAGCTGGAGTCGCTGCCTCCAGGGCCAGTCACAGGACAGCCTCCATAGGCTAAGAAGCACACAGCAAGCGGGGTAGTGTTCCACTCCTGTAATCCCTGCAGTGCAGGAGCCTAAGGCAAAAGGATTGTGAGTTCAAGGTCAGCCTCAGCAACTTAGCAAGGCCCTAAACGAGACCCTATATCTAAATAAAATATTTAAAAGGGCTGGGGATGTGGCCCAGTGGTTAAGCACCCCTGGATTCAATCCCTGATACCAAAAAAAAAAAAAAAGACATAGCTTAAAAAGGTGTCCAAGGCCAATGTACCCTAACCCCAGAGCTGCAGCTGGCTTAGCACCCAATCTGACTGGGGAGCCTGTGCTCAGTTTTAGAATTTGCAGCATTTTCAATTTTCATATTAGAGATGCTCAGTTGGTAAAGTCTATCCACATATTCCAAAATCCAAAAAACTCCAAAATCCAAAAACTCCAAAATCTAAAATACTTCTGGTCCCAAGCACTTCAGTTAAGGGAAATTTAACCTGTACCGATTTTTTGTGTAGACCTAATCTATTACCCCCCACAAAATTTTTTTTTAAATAACYAAATATTGTATCTCCCTTAAAGGTCAGAAATTGTATCCATGACCAAACTAATAAACAATTTTTTTAACTCCTTATATGCAGCAGCAGCCACCCAAGAAAAAGTTAGAACATCGTCACTGGTACAATTCTGGGTCTGGGCTTCTTCTGAAATGTTTCTCCTTTCATCATTTTACCAAACAACTCAGCAATACATAATCCAMAAACAAAATAAATGAAAACTGGAAGTATAGGAATATAATTGAAAAACTGTTCATACTTCCTGATTGGGAGGAGGGGAGAAGAACAACCTCCTAAGATAATCTAATGTCAGGCCAATGTGAATAGTTCACCAAACTGAGGAGTTCACAATCAATATAGAGAGATCAACAGAACTTCTCATACATTAGCAATAACCTTTATTTTTAATTCACACGGGAAGATTTATTCAACATAACAGAAAACCATCTTAAAAAACCAATCATATGTCACTTAACAACAGAGACAGATTCTGAAAGATGCACTACTAGTCAACTTAGTTGCCACAGGATCACCACAGTGAAACTTACACTAAGACAGCCACGCCACTCTAGGTGATGTAATATTATGGTACCACCATTGTATATGCAGCAAGTCACTGACCAAAATGTCATTATGTGACACTTTTGACAGCAGAAGGTTTAATACATGGGGGGGGGGGGGAGTCTGAGCAGATATAAAAATACAAGTGACTGACTAGAAGAACATCTATTGTATTTAATCAAAAAAAAGGTTACTGTCTAGAATAAAAAACTTCAAGAAAAATACAAACCATCTAGTGCAGTGGTGCACACCTGAATCCCAGCTACTTGAGGGACTAAGGCATCAGGATCTCCAGTTCCAGCTAGCTTGGCAACTTTCCTGTTTCAAAATAAAACTTCTTTAAAAGGACTAGAGGAATAGCTTATCTAGTCTGTACAACGCCCTGGGTTCAGTAACTGCAAAAAAGAAAAGGAGAAAGAGAAGGGAAAGAAAAAGAAGGGGGAAAAAACACAACTAGACTGGGTCCAGGGGCACATGCCTATATTCCCAGCTGCTGAGAGGATGAGGCAGGAGAGCTGCAAATCCGAGGCCAGTCTGGGCAGCTGAGCAGGACCCTGTCTCAAAATTAAAAGAAAAAAATTTTACAGGGATGTACCTCAGTGGTACAATGCTTGCCAAACATACCAGAGACACAGAGTTCAATACCAGGCACAATAAAAATTAAAAATTCAGGTTACAAGGAAGCATAGAAAATTAACAAATGTTAAAAAACCTAAATGGCCAAGAAACACAGGAGAAGGGCAAACTTAAATTAATTGTGGGATGAAAATTATGACAACTGTCAGGAATCGTTTTTAATGTCAGGTTGGCCAAAAATAACGAATCTCGTATGTTGTCAAGAATGCAGAGAAAAGAAAGCCCTCGTTCCTTCCAGTGGAACCACTTATTGGATCATCTCTCAGGGGGGAATGTGGTAGGACTTACTAATATGAAGCCATGAAACAGCTTACCATTCTGTAACAGAACGAAGGACAACATAAATTCATTAAAAAAAAGGAAAGCAATACGGCAACTTAAGAAATACATTAGATCTTTGTACACTAACCAAGACCAGCTCAAAAACAGCATAAACTGGGTTAAAAAAAAAAAAAAAAAAAGCCAAATGCAGATTCTGCTCCAGTTAATACCAATTCATAATAACAGCAGCAAGAACCTAAGAAAGTGTCAAAGAAAACCTATGGAAGATGATTTGGGGAAACAGCATAAAAGCCAGATTCCCAAAGGATGTTTTTTAAAACTCAATAAATGAGGAGAGAGACCTATCCTGCTCAATCAGGATTTGTTTGGCCTCATGAAATATCAACCTTAAAATAGCAGAGGTATAAACCAAAGAGAAGATTATTTCTCACTCCTTTAAAGTCCAAAAGCTGGTATCACCTTTGGTTTGCACAGCATCGAATGTTTCCTGAAGGATTTTCATGTAGTTCATCTTATTCAATCCTTTCACCAACCTAGTAAGATAACAGGGCAGATATTACTGTAACCATATTTTGCAGATGAGAAACTGGTTTAGAGGAATTTGTAACTTGCCCATAGACACAGACTGGAGACCACAAMGCAGCTGTAGTCCATGTAGGTATGCCCCGTAGGTGTGCATCCCACTAACATAGGCTTCTGCTTTKGTTGTTTGGAACACTCCACGTTGTTTAGACCCAGGTGAAGACTCCAAATTACTTGTTTTCATATAACCTTCTTGAGGCCTTCAGTTAATATTCTAGAACAGGAATATTGGATGTACTAACACAACTATAACTGGTTATGCCAAACAACAGTGCTCTGGTTCCTCCAGGAATTTATAAAAAAAGCAGTGACTGTAACCAGCTCCTTCTCTTTGTTCCACTATGGAGCTGATGTGAGGCCTAGACTCTTCTATGATATCTGCCTCTATCATTCCCATAAAAAATGTTTCTGTCCTTGGGTGGACTAGATTTGGACTTACTTTCTTCCAGGCTGTATTTTTATCAAATTTGGTAAAAAAAAAAAACCTTTATGTATAAATATTTAATGACTTTCAGATCACATACTCAGTCTTTTGAGATCTAATTAAGATTTCTAAAAAAATGAATTTTTACTTTCATACTTTGGAATTTTTTGATGTCATTTTGTCATGATAAAATGATTCTATAGCCAATGTGCATTTCTTCTTCAATGTGATGTTTGTTTTCGATGTATACGTGCAAGAAAGTAGGTGGAGAAAGCTTAATCGTTTTTTCAAAGCTCACGAATTTGCTATAACCTACAAAAAGCTGTAATGAAGAAATATTTGTTTGCAGAGAATCAATTAAGTAGCTTCCAGTCACTGGTGAGCAGATGATTCCTGCTTCTCAGAATTTGAATGTTTCAGCCAATATCTGTTAACAATTGGAAGTTGAGCCTATTTCCCTGAATTCACTGGCTATTTAACTACTGATTTCCTTTACCTAACTTTTTTTCATTTTGTATTGTTTTATTGGTTTGTAGTTCTTCATCTAGTAATGGATACTAACCCTTTGTTGAATACATTTAAATTCTCACCCCCTTGTCAGTCGCTTATTTTTGTCTTGTATTTTGGTGGGGGGGGGATGAGAAAATTGATTTTTTTTAATGTAATCCAACTGATTTTTATTGGTATTTGTGTTTTGTATCCTAAGAAATAGTTCCCTATTTTAAGAATATAGGCATACATCATTTAGAGCTTCTCCTCATTTAAATTTTAGAAATTTTGGAAAGCTATTAAATTTCCAAACCCTCATTCTGCATTTGTTCTGACAGGTGGTGCAGCAGAACAAGCTGGAACAATAGAAGCTGGAGATGAAATTCTCGCTATTAATGGGAAGCCCCTGGTTGGGCTCATGCACTTTGATGCCTGGAATATTATGAAGTCTGTTCCAGAAGGACCGGTGCAGTTAGTAATTAGAAAGCATCGGAATTCATGAATTTCATCATGACTCTTGTTTTCTCAGTCCTTTCCTCATTTTAGCAAATCAGAATGACTTCTTTAAATGACAGGTTCTTGAAACGACAAATAGTATAGACGAGACTATAAAAATCTCCAATTTTTTTGCTTTTCCACGAAGCCTGACCTGTTGTGTTGCAGCAGCAATGAAGTTGAACTCTGGAAGCCTGCAGGGGTCGTTTGGTTCCAGTGCCTATGCCCTCCTTTTATGTTTGCATTGAGGACACAAGAGGTGACATGCTCTTCTTCATCTGAAACACCTAGATACACCTTTACTTCCCTCCTGCCACCTCTCCCAACATACAGTCCTGGTGCAAAGAGACCGGATGGGTAACACAAATGTCACAGCTAAAAAGACTAGTTTTATATAATTTTTTAAGTAAGTGACATGCTTTTAGGCACAGTCAATGGAAGGAAGAGCTGTAAGTCTATATATGTTATCCTGAAAAGAAAATAAGACTTAGAGAAAAAAAATGAAATTATGACCTAATCATTAGGCTGAGCTCAGGAATTATCTAAATAATGAAAAGGCGAAATAAAGAAAGTAATATTTTTAACTAGTGTAATGTACAATATATGGGTGCAGAGTTCAATTCAATGGGTCACTGACTATGAAGTAATGATCACCTTCAAGCTCTCCAAGGTTAAGTCAAAGGCTGCTTTACAGTATAACAGCTCCAAAAACTGCACTGAACAGCCGTGAGCTTCACTGCCTACAGGAGCAGGGAGTTGCAGATCTGAAAGCACCTTGCATCTGGTTTTCAAGCCTGTCTTGGATAAGTGCTTAAATTCAAGACTGGACAACACAAAGCAGACAAAACTATCAGCCATGGGTTTCCACTTCTATATTTCATGCACTCCAACCACTCATTTCAACTAAATTTTTAGAAGTATCTTTTTAGTGTCCTTAGATTTATAAGCAAAGGTATTCTATTTACAAATCCAAATTGAGCAGCATATATTAATCCTTTTGAGAAAAACTTTGGGTTGGTTTTTCTCTGCTTTCCCAGCACACTTAAGAAATGTGACGTTTCTAGTTAATAGATCTCTTTTCTTGACCTGGTATAACAAAACTCTATAATGATTGAAGTTGTTGCTGTTGTGTATTCCTGTTTTGCAAATTCTTCCTTTTGCTAAAAGTATTTTCCTCCAGAAGAATGTGACTCATGCTGCTTGTGAACACCCCCCCAGCTGCCATAAGCTTCTTCAAAGTACCCATTCTTATCCCATGTGCCATTCCCCTGTGACAAAGTTGGCTTTTCTCCCCTTGCACTATACCGTATTTTCCTAAATTCCAAAGCCTCATCAGCTTTGTTTACCAAAATGTAAGAACGAAAATGGAAAAACAGGGTGAGTCACTGTCAAGGTGAAGGAGTATGTAGTATTTACAACTTAAATCCTCGGGTGGTAAGAAGCCAGCCCATTGAATCCTGGAAATACGGGTGGAGATTGTATTTGTCATACCTGCATGCATGATTCTAAGGTTTTATGTTGTGATTTTAAAAAATAACCTACAGCCAGGTAAAGGGCTATAAGTCCCAGATCATGGAGATACTTGAGCTGTCATCTATATACATCATTTTTCTGAGGACCAATTCTGCTAAAGATCTGTGAAGTTGGCCCAGTGAGGTCCCTCAGATGGGAGTAAAATACCTGGCTTGTCTGAGCCCAGATTTCTCATTTTTCAACAGGTTATGCAAAGGAAAATATAGTGCAGCAGTTAGCTAGAAAAACCTGATTGATTAAGCTTAGATTCTAATTTTCATTAAAGTTACAGGTAGGATATTATAGGAAGTCAGTGCAAGGTGCATGCTAGATTATTTTTGAAGTCTCTGGGGTCAATTTCATGGTTTCTACTTCTTGCCTAAAAATTAAGAGACTACTTGAAGTCAATACTGAAAACCATTTTTTGCCTCTACTTTTACAGCTCTGCCTTTAAGAAATGTAGAATCCATCATAAAACTCTAATAGTAAAGAAATGCACACTTCTATGTGAACAGACAGAACTTTCTAGAGCAATGGCATTACAAGGGTGGACCTCTGGCTTCTCATACCAAGTCATCAGCTATTTCTATTCCATCATGCCAGAAGGATTCCCTGACCAACAGTAGGAATTTAAGGGAAGAAGCAAAAGCTGAATTTTGATCCTGAGAGATAGAAAGCTATTTATTTGTCTTCAGTGTTCAAGGCATGACTAGTGTTTCTAATTAGTCTAATAAGCTCCCACGCTTCCTGAAGTGAACACTATAGTATTGTCCTACTAAAACTCGTTTGTTTTTTTTAAACTGGTCAGTCATTCACAGTAAGCTATGAGGGTAAATGTGTCATAACATGTAAATCGTAGTTGCAAGAATATACCGTGAAAGCTGAGGAGGTTGGGTTTCATTTCCACCCTCCCACATGCATCTCATTGAATTGTATGGTTTGACAATTATTGGCACCACACTTGTTGTATATTATACATTATCCTTTATTTATGTAAAATAAAATGCCTTATATATTAAAGAGTAAGTGCAATAATATGAAATAGCTTGTACATTTTTAAATGTTCTTGCCAAGTTATGTAAATCCACATCTCTGTAAACAACTTTTTTAAGTAATTTTAAAAAAATAAACACTCTGCTTACTACTTGGCCTTTTTTTCCCCAGCGGTTCTATATTTACAGAGTAATATCAAGATAAACAATGTCTGCTATAACCTAAATAGGTGAGAGGTACAAAGGCAAGATAACTGAAGTTAGCCATTATTTTTCATGGTTACAATCAGAGCTTTGACAGAATCTAAAACCACTCTGCCTTTAAAATCTTAAACATTACCACAACCTCCTGGCTCTGGTCACCTCCTGGCTTCAATTACAACAAGGCCTTTACTCCTCTGACAACTGTCTGTTTTCTCCCCATCAGAATCCTATCCTTTCTTTACTTCCTTCTCTTTTCAGACCAGACCCCATGGCAAAGGACAGCCCAGAGACTTTAGATCCTGTGTGCCACTAACCAGTCTTTCCAGAAGTCCTGGATCTTCCTGACTGTCACACACCAAAAGTTGCCACAATAAATTCATAATTTCCAACTTCAACTGGGCCCTTGATGCTGCTCAGCAACTGTTCCTTGTCAGTTTTTTCTCTCATTTTTCACAATGACTGTGTTCTTTATTTTTCTCAGAAACCCTACTTACTCACCTTCCCCCTCACACATGGATCATCTGGGATCCTATTTCAGAGTGAAATAAAAAGCATCTATTTTATTTAGGCGTTTTTTGGTTTTAAGATGCAGACACCAACCTAGAGTAGCTCAAGGAAGAATGCAAGATGGAATCTCATAGAAATTTAAGAATGGGACCCAGCACGGGACTACAGCAACTCTAGGGTTCCGGGTTTTCACCCAGCTCCTTCTACTGGTAGAGCTCCATGGTTGTGGGTCTCTTTCTGCTGGCCTACTATCTCCCAGCTGGTATCCTTATCCCCAGTCCTTAACTGTCACCTAGAAACCTACCATGAGTGCCATTTTGTCTTAATTTGGCCTACTTAATATCCCAGAATCTCTCTGGACATATGCACCACAGTCTGCCTAAATTTCCAAAATATCCCAAATATAAGGCTCTGATATATTGGCTCATATAACAAATATATTTCCTCAGCCCACCCCTACTTGGGTAATTTTTCCTCAGGAGAATATCTATTTACATAATTCTCTTCCCTGAAACCCACTGATGTGTGAAATGAACAAATACAAACAGGAGAACTCTACAGATATGGTGCATTTCCCTAATCCCAGCAATTTAGGAGGTTCAGGCAGGAAGACCATCAAGGTCAACCCAGCAACTTAGGGAGAGCCTGTCTTAAAAAATTTTTTAAATGGGGACTATGGATGTAGCTCAGAGGTAAAGCACCCCTAGGTTCAATCCTCAGTACCAAGAACAAAAATAAAATAAATTTTAAAAAGGAAACTGGAAACCTAGTTCTAATATGGAAATTGACATCACATATTCTATGAATGTGGAAAACTATGATATTCATTGTATAATAAAACCTAAGACCAAACTGAAGAACAATGGAATGGGAAACAATTCTCTAAATGAGAGAAAGCAAAAGTGGTATGAGAGTTTTGAGGAATGCCACCAAAACACTTAACCTGAAGAATGGGGTCTACAGAAGGTAAACCCTTAAAGAAGCGGGTTACACCCAAGTCATCTTCATGCTTTGTGACCTAAGGGAAGCTTCCCTCAGTCAGGATCTTGCAATGACAGGACTCAACTGGCTCAGTAAGATACTAGCTGCCCCAGGTCACCACTCACTGACAAAGGCCACAGTGACCACCACTCCCCACACCCTCCTCCTGATACTCCTGAAACAGCTGAGAACCTCAGTAAAGATTAACATCAGGCTGAGTGCGGTGGTGCACACCTATAATCCCAGTGGCTTGGGAGGCTGAGGCAAGAGGATTGTGAGTTCAAATCCAACCTCAGCAATTTAGGGAGGCCCTAAGCAATTCAGTGAGACCCGATCTCTAAATAAATACAAAAAGGCCTGGGGATGTGGCTCAGTTGGTTAAGCACCCCTGGGTTCAATCCTTGGTATCAAAAAAAAAAAAAAAAAAAGATTCATATCAGCAAGGATACAACTTTCCTCTCTTGGCCTAAGGGAGTTATTGAAAAATACTCAGACAGCGCTATGAAGAACCAGCTACTGACCAATCTTGGGCCAAATGGCAGGCTTATAAAGAACTTAACCTAATTCTACCAAATGTGAGTCAGCAAGGGTCTTACTTATGAATAAATAACAGGTAAAGGAAAGGGCATAAAAAAAGAATAGAAAATAGAAAGCAGGGCGAGAGAGAAATATTAACATGCAAAAGGTGCATGCACACAACTGACACAGAAAAACCACATTAAATTGCAGCTGAAATTGCAAGTTTTTCACCCTCTCATAGTAGCCAAGTGTGTGAACTGGGTGGGATGAAGGAGGAAAAGGGCTGATGCAAGCTGTGCACTCTCAGACTCCATAATGAGAAGAAACCACGGGAAACAGAATCCAAGTTCAGAAGGACAAGAACAACAGGGAACAAGAATAAGAATCAGATGAAAACAGGTAAGGGGAACAGTGGCAAAAATCAAATAGCCATATATCTGAACACTCCACCAAAACAAATAAGAGCTAGACAATAGTTGAGCTACTCTCACATCTCTCTCCTAAAAGAATAGGAAAAGAAATTCAAGAACCAGAGACAGAATATAAACGAGGTCAAATCCCATAAAAAATGATAAGAAAAAGTAACATGAGATGCAAATACACTATCTGCAGACACAAAAGTACATCAGAGCTGGGGATGTAGCAAGGTGGTAGAGCACTTGCCCAGCATGAGAGAGGCCCTGAATTCAGTTCCCCAGTGTGGTACCAAAACAAGCACACAAGAGAGACGCATAGGAAGCTATTAAGAACCTGCATCAAGTACATCAAAAAAATGATCTGAGACAGGTACAGTGGCGCATGCCTATAGGCCCAGTGACTCAGGACGCTGAGGAAGGAGGATCACAAGCTTGAAACCAGACTTGACAACTTAGTGAGACCCTGTCTCAAAACAAAAAATGTTGAAAAGATCTGGGGATATAGCTTAGTGGTAAAGCACTCTTGGGTTCAACACCAGTAACAAAAAAAAAAAAAAAAAAAAAGGAAGAAGAAAAAAGTCACAAAATATGACTGAATAACAAACAAAAAATTTTTAAAATGTAGTAAAATTCAAGAAAAAATTAAATGATTTCAGAAGAATCAACTAGAAAAAAGAGACTATAACGGGAGGGAAATGTTGAAAGATCAGTAAGAAAGAAGAACCCAAGCAAAACTGACAGAAATAGAGTGTATGACAGGAATCCCCAAAGAGACAACCTAAACAAGGAAACAGAATACTTTAATCTTTAATTTTACTGAAATCAAGAATAGAAAAAGAAAATTGACACTTTTTAGTAAAAGAACACACCAAGACCAAAACATCCTCTCTTAAAGTTGGAAAAATACCAGGGAAGAAAATCCCATGGCAATTCAGGCAAAAACAAGAAAGCACTCATGAGGGATACAAAATCATGATTCACAAAGCTSTACAGCAATGCTTTTTGTCAAAAATAGAGCACACTTGGGCTATGGTTGTGGCTCAGTGGTAGCGTGCTTGCCTAGCATGTGTGAGGCACTGGATTCAATCCTCAGCACCACATAAAAATAAAATATAGCATCCACCTAAAACTAAAAAATAAATATTWAAAAAAAACCACTTAACCCATTAATCCCAAGTTTCTAATTCTGCGAATATTTCAAGGATGGATGCATTAAAATTGGTTAATATTTACTGTTCAGTTTAAGTTTTTATTGGTGTTACACATCTGAGACAATGGGCAAAATGGATTAAGATACTCAAAGAAAATGTGATCCAAGAATCTTGCCATCAGCATACAAAATCTTAGGGAATATTATTCTCACAAGCCCTTTCTGAAGACAACCTAAATGACTTGATAGACTGTGACATCAGGAATGGTGATAAGCATTAAATATTGTGTATACTTGCAGAGTGTAAAAAAGAAAATCAAAGGAACAGTCAAAGGAGACTTAATGACTTTGTTCTTGCAATGCAGATGCAGCATTAACTACAAAAAGGATTGGAATGAAGAGAGCATATTTTAAAAAAAAGTGTTGCCAAGATCATTGTAATGTCATGTGTAGATAATTTTAAAAAAAAGAAAAAAAACCCAACTCAAAAACAACAACAAAAAAGTGTTTTTGTTTTGTTTTCRCAGTGGTGGGGTAAATATAATATTTTTTTAACTCTCAGTAATCATATATTGCTGATATTGTGGCAATACTGTTATTTTGAGGATATCATGAGTGTAAAGATACAAAGCAAATTAATAATTATGTATTTTAATTTGACCATTACCAATTCCTTGAGAATTAGGATTCCTGATATGGAAAAGTAGAGATACAGCTTTATAGATCAAAGATGGAAAACCTTAAAGTATCTGTATTTATTCTTATCATAGTAAAATACAGATAGTCCTACCATTTTAAGTATACAACTATATACTGTATACTGTAGTGTCACTGTATATAGTGACATTCAGCTACTGATATAGTAAACCATCACCACCATCAGCTTCCAAACTTTTTCATCTTCCCAAACTCAAACTCTGTATTTTATTTTAATTTATAAATATTATATATATATATATATATATCTCCTATAAAAACACAATTTTTTTGCCTAGAAGCAATGACCATGGCAATAATAGTAAATATTCTGAAAGCCCACATTATGGTCTTAAAATACCAATTTATGCCAGAAGAAATCACAGCTTTTTGAAGAAAGTGATGATTACGGATATGGGGAAGAAAACATACAAACGAATTTAGAACATCTGACTGTACCAGGTCATTAAAGATGACTAGGATTGTACCAGAAAGACTAAGGATCCCTGAAGAGGGGTCCACTGGCCACAGATAGGTAATCCCAAGCATTAATAAAGATAACCATGGTAGATCAATACACATAAATGTTACATTATGCTGTGAAATAAATAGGCACAAAAAGAC